ATATATTTATTTATTTATTTATTTATTTATTTATCTATTTGGCTGCAATGAGCTTTGATCTTAAAAGGACATTTTAGGAACGTGAAATCGCTCAGTTTCGTTCCGAAGTTCGAGTTCCAGCCAAACTTCGTGCTGAAGTACTATTGCTGAGACGCGAAAATGAACGTTATAAACAGATGCTACAAACAATGCAAAAAGAAATTTTTGGTGCTAGACTATCAGCCAAATATTTAGACAAAGAATTGGCTGGTCGGTAAGAATTTATGAGTGTTGGCTAATAGGACTGGATAGCACCTAGACGAGGATTATGCCAATATCAAAAGGATGTCAAAGGTGTTGTTAGAGGAAAAAAAGGGTAACAACGACATTTAGGATTCAACAAATTCAACTACTGGGTAGAAATATGAAAGGCGCTGAACATGATCGTTTATGGAATCAATTGGAAGCTGAAATTCATTTACATAGGCATAAAACTGTTATTCGGGCATGCAGGTACACTATGTTCGTGAACTCTGCTGTATTTGCTTAGATTATGGAATCAATGTACCATCATCGTTAACGAAGGCGATAAGAACGGTCAACAGCAGATATTTTACAACTGTTACCATTTTAGGGGTCGTGGAAACACCAAAAATCTGTCTTTTCCACCAATAGCCAACTATTTTGATCTGAGGAAAAAACGTGGTATTGGTGAAACCAGAACTGTTAAACTTCAAAAAGAATCTTACGAAGGTCTTGGAATTTCAATTACGGTACGTAATCTATATTTCAATTCTGTGTTATTTCTTCATTTATGCTATTTTATTTATTTATTTTTTTCTGATGATTTACTACATCATAGTTGTATCCATTTACAAAAAATAAATCGAATAAGTTACGAAACAAATATATCTGCATTTGGTTTTGAGTTGGCTAACAAAAAATTGAAGGAATTTTTTTATTTAAAATTGTAAAGAATGTGTAAGAAAAAAAACAAATTTTTTTCTTATTTTTCTGTTAACTAAAGCTGTTTAACAGTTTATACTATTAAATGCATTCAGACTAATTTAAAAAAAAAAATTATTTTTTTATATCCAATATCAAATTCTTCATTTTTCCTTGTATTCTTTCGTTTTTGGCACCGATGTGTACTTAGAAATAAGAAAAAGAAGGGAGAACCAAAATTTGTTAATTACGAAAAAATTTTTAGTTTTGTCTGATTCTTCAGATCAGTCTTTCTTTTAAACATATAAGAATTTGTTGAATGATGAGAGAGCATAGGACAAATGAAATATTTGTCATTTTCTTCTTGAAACAATTTTTTTCCAAGCTTAAATTAACTTTTCTAAAAATGGTTTGGCAACTGCACAATTTTTTGATGTTGTTTTGTTCTGTCTTATTCTGTTTATTCGACCAGAATATGTGTCAATTTTTTTGACGTCTGCGAAATCTAACTCACAATTCTTTTTATTTTATTTTTTCTTATAAATCTCTAACATCAATACTTGTTGAATGAATAATTAACAAATGTATCACCAAAAAAATACTGCTTCTAGATTGGATGATCTAAAGAATAGGGGAGTTGTGCAATTGGAATGATGATTATATGGAATCGGAGAGGTGGGAGAAGGTGGGTTGATAAAGCGAGTAGGCGAAGAAGAGGGATTAATGACGAACAAATAAGACCTTAAGAATAATGGGCATAGATATTTGTTTTGAGAAATAGGGATTTTGAAAAGGATAACGGTGATAGACTGGACTAAGGAATGACGGCTTACAGAAGCATTAAAAAAATAATTTGTGGCCTCTGTAATTGTAAAATAAATATGGCATTGGCCCTGTGAAGCTGTTGCCAGTCAAAGTCTCGTATCGGTTCTTTGCTGCTAAATTAGTTCATAGATCATCTGAAAGAGTCGTAAATAAAAAAACGAAGCGACTACAGCTTTTATAAATAAATTATTTTTTGATGACAAAAAGGAAAAAAAATACTTAAATGGTGGAATATTGTGGTGATGGATTCATTTTTACTGATAATTTTTGTTCTTTTTCTTTTTCTTGCACAACTTAAAGGTAATTTTTATACACTAAATGTCTCATCAAAATATACTGCAGGAATGCACTATAAGGACAACTGTTTAAGTAAGAGCTTTTTAAGGATTTAAACAAAAATTGTTACGACAAAAAAAAATTCGGGAATTTTTGATCTTTTAACAGTTATGTTTCTGGAGGAATAAGGGGAAAGAAATGCCGGAAGTTGATTTGTCTAAAAGATACTGATTTATTTAGCAAAATAATAAAATTAGAGCTGAAAGTAATAAAAAAAAGTTGCTGATTAACCAGGGGAAGATTCGAGAACAAAAAACTTGACAAAAGGTGAGGTAGAGAGAGATTGGAGGATTTTATAGGACTTGGAAACGTAAGACTTACTTGTTGAGAATTCAGAGTTTTTTTGGGTGCTCCAAATAGCGACGTACCATCTGAAACAATGACTAAACGGCATAAACATCACAAGATACGCATCAGTTTTTGAAACATCAAAAATCTTTTTACCTTGCTATCGTTTTTTTTTATATTTCTTAAAGTGCTTAATTTACATGTTTATTAATTCACCTATGAAAAGAGAGCAGTAACAGTATATTTTTATTTTTAGGGTGGTCGAGAACACGGAGTACCAATAATAATATCAGAGATACATAAAGGGCAACCGGCTGAACGATGTGGAGAACTCTATGTTGGCGATGCTATTCTATCCGTCAACGGTATTAATCTTCGTAATGCAAAACATTCTGATGCTGTAGAAATTCTTTCTGGACAAGTTAGTTTACATTTATTTTTTTATTATGCATTTTTATTTTGAGATTTTTTAGTGTGTAGAATTTTGATATTCAAATATTTACTCGTTATATATTTCAGCACCTGATATTTCAGATATTAATTAAGCAACTATGCATTCAGGTCTAATTATCGTCAACTGCTGATTTTTTTGACATTAGAATCAACAATAGATGTCTAAAATTGTTTAACTAGTTATAAGGAGACATTCCGGTGGTTAAACAATATTAAAAAAGATAGTTTCTTCAATAAAACTAGAAAGCAATTTGCAGGAAAACGAACTAATTATGGAAGTTGTATTTGTTATGCCAGATCAAGACAGCGACGATGAAGGTGCTGTTGTAATTGAGGCTTTAGATGGTTCAACGTAAGTGTTTGCTATATTCCATCCGTTACATTTGTGCTTGCCCAGGTTGATCAATCAAATGCAGCCTTAACAAATGTAATTTTGGCTTATCAGTGTGAAAGTTTTTTACTACAGAAATCATAGTATGCTCAAAAAAATTCTCTTTTTTTTCACTATTTTCTTGCCACTTTTTTTTTTATCTTTTTATTGTTTTACTATCAGTTTATTTATTGTTGCATTTTTCTTTTCTTTTTGCCTTTTTTTTTTCTTCTTATTTTTCTACCACTTTTTTTGCTCTTGTTATTGGTGCTGAAAGAAGAATTTGTACATTAATTAAAGTAAGGTAGAGGTAAAAAAAACGATGAAAATTGGGAAGAAAATACTGCAGCTGCAATGATGAATAATCTCTGTACTCTTGTGATTTTGTGACATTTGTCTACAAAGTTCATCGGCTTAGTATTTTGTTTTACCAATTAACATATTAAATTCTTGTTAATTTGGATATTAAGCGAGTTGTTTATGGTTATGAAACATCTAAAATAATCAATGAATTATCAGTGATAGCCAAAATTCCAAAATTACTTTTTCTAAACTGTTCTAATGCTACGTTTTCTTCTTTTTTTTTTGCTTGGAACTTTTCAGTATTACAAATGAAGGAAGGGGTGGTCTTATATGCGGAAAGAAAGATTTTTAGTACTGTTTCTGTTCTATGCTATTCTATTCTAATTAATTTTATCCCGTTTACTGCATTTTTTTTCTCAGATTTAACATGTATGAACCGTTGGAAGAACAGGAATCAAATATTAACGAATCGTTGAACAGTAACTGTTCGTCATCGGCGTCGCATCATACGGAATCGTCGAACAGTATCACCGAAGAAACGGAGGCAAACGCAACGAATGCACTGCTCGAACGGATTATTTAATCAACTGACAGTTGTAAAATAGAACTTTTTTTTTTTGTTAATTGTTTGTTTAAAAATATTTGATAAAAAAAAGTTGGGGGAGAA